GCCACCTACCACCTACAAGTCGGCAGTGTTGCTGGCACCTCAATATTCCATCATAGCCATACCTGTATTAACAAAATAGCCTTTCTCATCTTTTTTCCTCATGTGTAGCTCTTTTGTCTGGTAGATAGATCAATTAAAAGGGCAGTCTTGAGAACTTCCTTCCTTCATACCATCACCTGTCCCTGTGCTTGAACCAGTTTATACACTGAAATAATTTTCTTCTTGCATATCTGAACCTATAGTACTCAACTGAAGAGTGGGAGGAATAGCACTCCTTTACACCCTTTATTCTTTTAACTGGATATTGTTTGCACTGGTCTCGGCATAATAAGGACACATACTGTATCTCCTGAACTGCTGGGCCTTCTGAACTCATTTTGTGTTAATAAAACTACCCTTTTCTTCGTGCCGGCCTGCATGAATGTTGGTGTCAGTCAAATAAAACAAAATTTCTTGTGCATCTGGTAAAGTGGGCCTGGACCCTGAAAGCTCACGAATAAAAAAGCCTATGACTAAAAATCTAATTCGAGAGGAAAGAGTATATTGGTCTGCCATGGAAAATACAGACTTTAGACACCCCAAAGCAGGTGTGGGCAACTGTGGAAAGCTTTGTTTTCTGGGAAACCTCTGAGGACCGTACCTCAACTAATGTATGGAGGTATTTCTACTATATTTTTGGGTTGCAAAAATTGTTTTTACTCTCTGGAAGGCCCCAGCAGTCTCCAAATCTAGTGGAAATTCCCTCCACACGACACTGAGTCCATTTAGCAGTATTTTGAAGAGGATATATATGCACACATATATACCACAGTGGAGTCCTTCGGTACACAAAAATGGCCATGTAGAGATACATATGGTTGACAGGCTGTACTTTGTCCACCCCTTTTGTCCAAAGAATAACAGCATTTATTACAACAGTCAAAGCATGAATAATTTTTACCAAACTATAGGTTCTCTAGTTTTACTGAATGTAACTAATGCAACGACATCAATAAAATTTGGAATTCACTTGATTTGTTGGAATGTGCTGCTTTATGCTTCACAGCACAAGAACCCCTGATCTACTGTTGTTTGTTCATATATATATATATATATATATAGATATAGATATAGATATATAGATGATATATATATAGAGAGAGAGGGGGGGGGAGGGGGATGCATATCCATAAACACTTGGGACGCTTGTGCTGTTTTCCCTGCAGTAAAGCAAGGAGCATGAATATATGCAAGTACTTTCTATGAATTGAAGGAAGCATCGAAAAGCAGAGGTTTAACTTCCTCACAGTTTTCTCAGTACCATCTAATAATGAATAAAGAGAAGCCAAATCTTGTGTACACTTACAGATTCCCTATGGACACACCTTTGGTTTATCTGAATGACACTTTACGATCCTCTTGTTACCCATTTTGCAAAATTTGCGCACAAGTAAAACTTGCTCAAGATAAGGGCTGCACATAACAAAATGTGTTTTGCCTCCAAAGAGATTTCTGTCAATAGCAACTGAGTTAGTGTTGCTCCATGTTTACTAAATTCACAGAGTACAATACTAGCTTCAGGGTGACACTGTGTATGGATTGCTCTAACTCCAATTTCGGATACGCAAATCCATGCTTAAATGAGATGTGCATTGTATTGACAGAATTCACCTAAAAGTAAAAAAAACAATACAGAAAAATCGAATGAGTTTACACTGATAATTTAGAAGGGCATTTTAATATTAATTTCAAATAAAGAATTCTCCCTGTTAGCTGAATTCAATCCAAAGAGCCCTACTGCTAGCAGCCAATGAAAAGCCCTATAAGCTTAATACTATAATTGGCCATTGTAGTGGTTAGACTCGAGTTTTAATCTTCTCTCTGCCAAAGAATACCCCTAGGTCGAATGTAGGCAAATAATACTCTCTTAGCCCCAGAGGAAGGCAAAGACAAACCCATCTGGACCAACCGTGACTAGAAAACTCTATACTAGATGTGCCTTAAGGATGCCATAAGTTGAAAATGATTTGAAGGCACATAACAGCGAGCAACATATATCGATTTTACCGTACCTAATAATCATAAATATTTCAAAGAAGATCAATAGCCTACACATTTCAGGTACTGTCCCAATGATGCAAACATATTGGGAGTATTGAAAATCCTTCTATATTCAGTGGGATTCCCAATATAACATACACAGATTGACTATTTTCTCCTCCATTTGACCAGCCCTCCATATTAAAAATAGATTATTCAGTCCATTTGTTAGCACCTTTTAAATGTTGCCTCTGATCACTAGTTCTTCTTAATCCCTTCAAACAGTACATCACATGGGGAAAAATGCCTCTTACATACCCGACAACCATCATAATGCACTACTGACAAGTATTACCACACACAGTTCAGAGTATGAATTTTCTTACGTTACTGAATGTAATCATTTTACAAGGCAAAGCATGAAAAATTTTACATCCAGTAACATAACAAAATTCATATTTTGAATTAGATGACTGAATTTTTAAACATAATTTACACGTTCAGAAGTTTTTTAAAATGACAGTTCAAATACACTACTTTAACAATGCAATCCTATCTACCTTAGCCTAGAAGCAAGGCTCATGATGTTCCACTGTCCATTTAGGCAGCAGTACTAGGCACATAGAAACATAGCTGCAATGGAAAACCGCATTTTATATAATAACTAGCTGTACTTGGCCACGTGTTGCTGTGGCTCATTGTGGAGAAATGGTAAAGAAAGAAAAGATGACAAGCTGGTTTCTAAGCTATCAATACACAACTGAAGTCGCAAAGTGTCAACCTAATATAGGCCCATTTCAGTCTCCTTGAGGCCAAAGGGTTACATAGATGTATGGTAAGGCCCTGGGTTACCTGAGTTCACACTGCAATATAACCCAGTTCAAAGATATAATATAGGTGTTATTATTCTTATTACAGATGTATAGATATTATTATAGGCATATATATATTGTTATTATAGACACAAATATTATTATTAAAGGCATATAGGTATTATTATTATAGATGTTATTTATTTATTTATTTTGTATCAAACCATTGCATAAACTATAAAACTAATAAAAATAGAAGGAGCACAGGGCTAAATATCTTTTGAGCAAAAACGGGCAACAATTGTATGGATATTATTACAGACCTATAGATATTATTATAGGCATATAGATATTATTATTACTATCGATATAATATAACTATCATTATTATTTTAGATGTATACATATTATTATATGTATATAGATATTTTTATTATAGATATAGATATTATAGGCATATAGGTATTATTATTATAGATATAGATATTATTGACATTTATTATTATTATTATTATTATTATTGACATATGGATATTATTATAGACCTATAGATATTATTATAGGCATATAGACATTATTATTACAGACATACAGATATTATTATAGACATGTAGATACTATTGTTATAGACATAGACTTATAGATATTTTTATGATAGCTATATCAATATTATTATTGTAGATATTATAGCCCAGGGTTGCTATAAAGTAAAAATGGATGGCTATCTTTCGGGAGTGTTTTGATTGTGCCTTCCTAGATAGCCGTTCATAACTCACAGAGCTTGCATTTGCTGTTTTTGTCCTTTCTTTGAATACTGGAATACTTCCCATATTGAGTTATGAGAAGGAATTTCCCAGAATTCCTTCCCATAACTCAATATGGGTGATCTTTCTGGGAGTTGAAGTATGTAGAGATATGTGTGTGCATATAGGTGTGTGTGTGTGCCTACACATACACAGGTGCACACACACACACACAATCCCGCCCATGAGAGTTCCCAGCAGCCCAGCAGAGGTGCCTCCATGCTGCGGACATAGAGCCCTGCATCCCAGGCAGCCAAGAGGGAAGGGAAAGGAAAGGAAGGAAGGGGTGAATTTGGAGGAGGGTGTTCCTCTCCCTCCCTCCCTCTCTCTCAATCCTTTGGGAAGAGAGAGGCAGGGGGTAGCAAGAGGGATATACGGGCCACCTTTCCCTCCCTCTTTCAAGCTGCTTCTCTCTCAGCTGTTTTTTTTTCCTCAGGAGGAGAAGGGGCGGGGCTAGGGTGTTGTTTTAACACATGCTCTGTGTAGTCATTTAGCTTTGTGGGTTTTAAGTTCTTTTCGGTTAAATTTTTTTTTTTTTTTTTTTTTAGTGAAAACATACATTGGTTTAGTTGGTGTATTGTGGCCAAATTTGATGTCAATTCATCCAGTGGTTTTTGAGTTATGTTAATCTCACAAACCAACATTACATTTTTATTTATATAGATAGGATGGCTCATTTCAATGGTGTTATGCTTTATGATTGGATATAATGTGCATGAGCTGATGAGCAGAAAAACAAGATCTGTTATGCATTATGACAAACTACCATTTCTCTTTGACCCTTGGGAGAATTTAAATTTCTATAAAACAATTAGTAGATGCAGTGAAGTCATAATGGAGGCGACATTAAACTGGTGTTCTAAAATATTCTCTAAAGGATAATGTAAAATATAGTTTAGCCTTACCAACAAAAAAGATCATGTCAAGGCATTTGAAGCAGTATTTGAACAGAATGTAAAGTAAACGTAGATCTGCATGTAAATTTCCCAACAGTTTCTATCTAGTCACTGACTTCCCCCTCTCTTGCTTGTGTCTCAGCAGCAACCAAATGCCATGTAGTTGGGAAGCTACTTTTGTGCAGTGTTAATGAAGCATAGCATTAAGAGAAAAAAAAGGGAAACCCCAGATAAAGGGCTGTTTGTTTGCACATAAACACTGTGCAAACAAAAAATGTACAAACTATCTGCTCATGAAAAGTTACAGTCCTGAGATATTTTCTCTTGCTGTGATGCAGCCCTGGAGGTTTCACCTCTTTGCTCCATTTGTTCTTGTTTTATGCATATTTTTGAAATAAGCACATAAGATGCAAGTCTCCAAAAATAAAGAAACACTGTTGCAGTTCCCTTCCCTGTTGAAGCCAACTCACGGGACTCTGCAGTATCTGTGTGACTCTCTTCCTTTGTTCCATCATGTTGAAGTCTTGCCGGAGGTCAGGAGACATATTTCTTTCACGGATGTAGTCAGGGTCATTTTCATTGATGCGGTCAAAATATCTCTCTTTGTGAGGCATGCTGGGTGGTGGAGGGGTTGTGATTACCCCCTGGCTGGTCTCCGTGCTCATGTTTCAATTTATACTGTTTTCTTCACCTGCAACAATAAGATGTCAGGGGAGATTTAATGGCATTTAAAAACAAGCCATCATATCAACTTTACAAGAATAGATGTTTAAAATCTTCCCTCCTCCTCAGGGGAAAGAATCAGACAGAAATGCAGCCAGAACCACCAGCTTTTAAAAGAGAGATTCAGGAGTGGTTTCAGGCACAGCAGATGGGGGGAAAGATGTTCTTTAATAATGTCATTAAAAATGACATTTAGTAAAAAACTGTACTAAAATAAAGGAAAAAAAAACCCAAATTTTACAGAAGTATTGAGTTAGATACCAGTCTTAACATTTTATGGACATTCGTTTTCTGTCTGCTTGAAGAATTTTCTTTATAACCAGTACTTAAGTTATAGACTTAAGCAGGATCACAAAATGTTTCAACTATCTGAAATGTCTGTTGCAAACTACCAGCCACTAAGCCGTTATATGAATGCCACAACTATCTAGCAAAACAAATTCACAAGTTAAAAGGGCTGCTGAAACTGATCTTTCTCTAATCACCCTTCAACCAAGGGCCTAAAATATGGATGTCCTGGCTTCAAATCAGAAATTCTGGGCTAGGGTAATCGAAATGTAATGAAGGTGCTGATGAGCACAGTCACTGAAAAGTAGGTGATGAGCAATCTTTGTAAATAATTACTAAATAGGTTACACAACATTCATGATGGAGACAATATGCCGGCAGAGCCAACACAATCAAGTGAAATCAATGGCTACTCAATAATAATAATAATAATAATACTAATAATAATAATAATAATACTTTATTTATACCCTGCCACCATCTCCCCAAGGGACTCGGTGCGGCTTACATGAGGCCAAGCCCGCAGTACATCAATAAACAAAAGCAATAACAAAAACAGTCAATACAATACAATTAATATAAATAACATAAACAAAAATAAACAATAAGCAATAAAGAATAACACACAAGCATTTACTCTGATCTTGCTCTGACAGGCCAGAAGAACATTGGTAGTACTTGGGTGTCTTGTGACCATGATGTTCACACACCACCCCCAGGACTATGGCTCTAGTGACTCCCTTTCAGGAACAAGATATTTATTGACTCATAAGAACCCAAAAATCAAGAGCATCTTTGTACTTAGCACATGATATTGACCTCATCCATCCTCAGAAGTCTCTGTGGTGTCCAGCTAACTTGAGTTCTCAACACCACCATCATGTGTAGGGGGTCAGAAAAGTGAGAAAATCGTACACTTTTTTTGAAGAGAGGCAAGTCCCCTCCGATTTGTCCAAATTTTGTACATGCACAGTAATTATAGTGTCTTATAATGTAAGTAACCTTTATGCCTCTTTCTAATTCACCTGATTTCAACTTCTCTGCAGTTTCCATGACATGGAAGTGTAGGTAGGCAAACGACGCAACATGATCACAAACAATGGCTTGGCTGTTAAACCAAGCTATTATGTGGAGACCACAGATATTATTCACAATTACTATTTGGAACCTGCAATGCACAAACTTCTATCAACACCACTTTTAAGTTCGCCTGTAGCGTCAGTGGAATAAAACATTTATTTCCTGTAAACTGCTGCCAGAAACTCACAGGAGACCACCAGATGGTGTTTAAGCCCAGAAAAGTACTTAATCAAAAAACAGCTCAGATATTGGGAAAGGATCATATGATTAGTTTAACTGAACTGTAGCTACATTTCTGAGCATGTTTATATAGAATGGTTTCCTCCCACCTGTGCATTGCTCCAGAGATTTTCTTTTGCCCTGGCAGCAATTGAAAAGATACAGTTTGAATTTTAAATATCCTATTGTAGAACACTGGCATGATGTTTACTTATATAACTTCATTTCTTGCATTTGTATATCATTTTTAATTCCTACCAGTATACGCATCATTACCTATGTTTTTGCCTATATGAGAGTCAGTACAATACAGTAGCTTGAGTGTTGGAGAAGGATTCTGGGATACCAGGATGTGAATCTCCAATCAGCCATGAAAACCTACTGAGTAACTTTAGGTCACATTCTCTCAGCCTAAGAAGAAGACGACAGTGGCAAAGCTTTTGTGAATAAACCATGTGAAGAAAAGCCAATGAAAGCCTCACCATATGTCAGTCAACATGAATGTATGTAATAACAATACAAATACCTGAGTAGCATACCAGTTACCCCAAAGAACAGGAAGCCTCATGTCCTGTTTAACGTTTTTCCCTGTTTTCATGCTATTCTTCGTTTCATTTGGATGTGTCAATATTATAAGAAAATATTAAGAGTATTAAGTATTCTCTTTCTAAATTTGCACTTTTATTATTCCTCTCTTGACACACTACAACTTGATCCTACAAAGCCCATTCCATTGTTCTGAGAGGCTGAAATGCACTCCAAGAACTGCTGAGTGAAGTAACCTGCCTCTACTGTGTCATCTACACCAGCTCTTGATAAATGTCTATTGAGTAAAATTAATATTACAAGAGAACCTTTTGCTAAATCTTCATTAACCTACTGGGTCACAACGTCTAAGTTACACGTCTCAGCCCTGTGATAGGGTCACCATAAGCTGGAAACGACATGAAGACACACAAGAATAGCAACCAAAAAAATTAGACATAAAATGAAAATTTCTTTTGAAAACAGCTCCCATGTTAACAAAGAAGTATTTTTAATAGAAATTGATTACAGATTTAGTCCCCACACTGTAACAATGCTTAAAGATATCCATAAAAATTAATGCGTATTCTTCTTCTACCTTTGGGTTAACTCCATATTCCACCTCCAAATTCCACACTTTTTTCACCTTTTCCTGTTTGAGACATTTGACTGTTAATGTTACTACCTCAGCCCCTGAAATCTTTTCCTCTTGTATTCTGAATAATACACATTACTTGCTTTTATTTTATTTCATCAATGTATAACTCTTTCTAACAGCATGGCTTACAATGCAGATAAAACAGGTTTTATCTTGCTATATCATCTTTATCCTCATATTGGTATATATATAGGCCTGGACTGGCAGACAGATTTTCTACAGAAGTACATCAGACTGTCACTTATTTTCCATACATGTGTGTTCAAGAATCAATACACAATCTTATTCTTAATAAAATATTTTATTTGTCATTTCCGTGAAACACCCCAAAAAACAAAGAACAGCAGAACAGGAAAAGACTGGAAGGGCCATCTAGTTCAACCCCCATTGTGGAGGAATAGACAATTAAATCCCCAAAGGATTGGTCTTTAAGATGTTTAAAGACCTCAAAATTTCTTGATACTGCTAACTAGAAATGTTGGTTTTCATATTTTCTTGCATCTCAGTCATTCTCTTTGCTCAGCTAAACATAGTTAAGAATGGTAAAATGAGGCCCTTGCTCAAAATGCCCACCTATGTTGAGAGCGGGGGGGGGGGGGGGGGGGGGGTGTTTATAAAATTCTCCCTTGGCCACTTCCAGTATGCCTCCTTCTTCAGAAGAAGGGCTCTTTAAGGCCTAAAATACACTGGCTGTGTGTGGATATATAGGACTGGACTGTGGCGCAGCTAGTTAGTAGCCAGCTGCATTAAATTACTAATGACTGAGAGGTCATGAGTTCGAAGCTATCCTGGGTAGGAGTGAGCTCCCGACCATTAATAGTCTAGTTTGCTGTTGACCAATGCAGCCCGAAACACAGTTGCATCTGTCAAGTAGGAAATTTAGGTACTGTTTTATGTGGAGAGGCTAATTTAACTAATTTACGACACCATAAAACCTTCCAGCAGTGTGGGTAAGAATTAGGAAGTAATCCATCAAGGACTCAGTGTCACAAATGGACGGTGAAGCGACAGTTCTCCCTGTGGTCTGAATCGAGCATACCCTCATGAAACCGGAAAGCTAGAATGTTAAATTGCCTGTGTGTGTGTCTATATGTATTGTGTGTGTATGGCATTGAATGTTTGCCATGTATATGTTCATTGTAATCCACCCTGAGTCCCCTATGAGGTGAGAGGGGCAAAATATAAATATTGTAAATAAATAAAAATAAATAAATATATGATAAAATGACCCCCGGGCTTCAGGACATTTTGAATTTATTTTTTTAATGTGGGAGCAGGCAAGCACAAAGTATTAAATTTATTTTTTTAATGTGGGAACAGGCAAGCACACAGTCCTGACTTTGGGTGGTTGCTCATCCTGGCTTTATTTGAGATGGTGCATATTACATGGAGAACTGTCTCTTATTCAATTATTATTCTGATTAACAAGTGATGATAAATCTATTCTGTCTGATTACCAGAAAGTTAGCACTTCTTGTTAAGTTCTGACACAAGTAGAGTGGGGTCAGATTTCAAATATTGTAAAATCAGCAATTCTACAACAGAAAAGTGGAAGCAGGAATTTTCTTGTTAATATACATTAAACACCTACCCCAAACAATTATCTGATTTTAGCTATAACTGAAAAGCTGCTGCATTAATCTGATGTATTTCTCTTTTGTGACTATTTCTTTTTTGTGAATATGCCCTATTTTTTTTCAGAATTTGGACCAGTGTGTTCATTAAACAACCTCTGCTATCTTTGAGGACTTTTCTAGGAGGTTAAGGTTACCAATTCCCCCCACAACCACCCCCTTTCAAATCAATTACAAATTTTCCAATTATGACTACTAGGTTCAGTTATGCAATTGTTAACAGCAGAAGTACTCAATTTAATTACCCTTTGAACCCCACATCTCTACAAAATTAATTAGGATATGTAACTAACCACATGACAAGTTCTATTACAAAGGAGGCAGCTTTTCCTATGAGATCAAACTAGCATTTGAGCTTTCATCCCTTTCCCCATTTGCTGACCATTTCTCACAGAGACCAGCAGACTTAGAAACAGGGGAGGAGGGAAATGCCATTTTAGCAAGATGTCAGTAGGTGATTGGCCTTATCAATTATCCAGACACTTTTCACTACAGTCAGAAAACTGTATTCCATGACACGTATCTATTTTTCCCTGCAACTAAAGGCCAAACAGTCAAATGCTG